CACCTACTGGTCTGTCCCCGGGCGGTGGCAGCGAGGACGAGCAGGACCAGGAGCGAGAGGGGCTGCGAGGGCCGCGGCATTTTCGGGCGGAGGGCTCGGGCACGGCTGGGTCCTGCTGCCCGAGGTGAGCTCCTGTCCCCGCCGGGCCGGGCGTTGTCTCCGAGCCGAGGGCAACGGGCGCCTTTATTGGCCTCACGGGGACAAGTGTCACCAAGTGCCATGGCAACGTGGCTCCTGTCATCCGTGGGAAGTGGCACCTCTCCCCTGGCTCAGGTGTCTCGGGGACCACAGTGGTACCCCCGTGCCCAGGACTGGGAACGACCCCTGGGTTGGGTGAGTGGACAGAGGAGGGGCTGGACGGATGGACAGTAAGGTGGGTGGGCGGTGGGAGGACAGACTGGTAGGGTGGAGGAGTGCCCACCCTGCCTGCTGCCCCACCTCAGCCTCCCCCCTCTACCCATGGGGTGCCACCTCACCCCCACTGGCAGGGCTGGGGCAGATCCCACGGGGGTGGGGCAGCACAGGGGGCAGTGGGCAGTGCCAGGCCACCCCCAGCCATGGGCCAGCTGGGCCTCCAGAGGATCCCAGCTGGTGCCAGGGGGACCCCGCCCCGTTACAAGGAGTGCCTGGTACTGTCTCCAGCTGAATATTAATGGTGTCACTGGGGAGGCCACCAGGGCACAGGGGAAACTGAGGTATGGGGTGGCCAGCAGCAACCCAGGGATGAACAGGAGGTTTTGGCAGGACCCCCTCTGACTGTGGTGATTCCCTGAGGGGTGAAGGAGCCTGGGGACACAAGGACAGGGGCCCCACTGCAGACGTGGGGAAAGGGGATCCGGCCCCAGCCTGGGCTTAAGGCAGGGGGTGTGGGTCCATATGACAGCCCCCATCCCCAGTGCCCTCACTACAGAGAGCCTCATGGGTACTTTGCCCCCCAAGACAGGCTTTGGAGCACCTGTGGATGCCACTGGGCACAGCCTGGCAGTGCCAGGGCACCGAGGGGTAGGCGGGGTGGCATAGCCTCGGTGTCTGTCTGTCTGTCCGTCCATCCCTGTGTGCCTGTGCTGACATGGCCCCCCCGAAGGTGTTCGCATCCACGTTTCCACGTGCACCCCCGTGTCTGTGCCCCCACGCCGGGGGTTTGCACCGCTGAGCACACACCTTTACACACCCACGCTGTGCACCCACACGTGTGTCCCGCCCCACGTGCCCAC